TGAAATAACCATTAAGTGCTATCATGATATATAGATAAGTTTTATCTAGTTTAGAAGATTTATTTTTTTCCAATTGTAAATCTTATTTTGAATCATATAATTATAGGGTAATAATTTTTAATAATACTCACTTGAGTTTTAACTCTTATATTCTCCTATTTTTTCTCTATTTTCATAACACGTTATTAGCACGAAGTTCTAGTCAATTAAGTTAGTAAATTTTTTTTTCTTGTCTACTTATAAATTTCTAGTATAAGGAAGAAATAAGCTTTTAGCTTCGCTAATGCAATGCCCGAGTTCTAGGTAGACTGAAGGCGTAAAGGCCAATTAGCACCAACCTGCTTTGAAACTCTTCATATAATTTTGTCATTCAATCAAGCCATATACGGGTCTCAGAGTGTACGTATCTGTGATGTGAGTGTATGGTCAGCAAAGCAAGAAAAATCTCCAATAGGTGTATACAAGAGATTATCCAAGCCTGCCGCTTATCATAATTGCCTAGTCATCATAAAATAGGTATTGCGATTCTGTAACCCAACCATTATGGTGAAGCTGCACTATATCAACAGAAAGCAATGAAGAGACCACAACTTAAAAAAAAATGGCATCATCCTCCAATCAGCCCACCTTGCAGGTGTGCTTATATGGGTGTTTACTAAAATACTACCGCAAGTGCTCGGATTGCATTCAAGTAATAAAGTGGACCTTTTAAGTCCAGATTGTCGATTCTTCAAGAAATGTTTACTTTAAATTACACAATTTTAATCAATTTAATTCTAACAATGAAAATAAACACACATTAAAGAGTTGATTTTAGAAAATAAGGAAAAACATACTAACTAAGAAAATAATAAAGTCTTGGAAATTTCGGAGGAAAAATGGTTGGAATTCATGGTTTCATTTAACCGTCGTCTAATCAATTTCTCCACATGCTAATTAACACGCTACTCATTTACGATGTTAGACTCGATCTTCCAATTTCAGCTAATTACCTCTCTTGAGTAAAATTAATCCTAATTGATTGATTTAACCTACTATATCTCTATGTCGATTACAACCAAAAAAATCGCACTAAATTGTTGTGAAAATAGCTCATTGAGTCACCTAGGGCTAGAGGTATATCTCTATCCTCTATACAAACCTAGGGTTTCTACCATTTGATCTAAAATGCACAATCTTCTCTTGAACTATGTACACTTCACGAAACACATTCATTCATTGGCTACATAAATGAAAATGTAATAAATACAATAATAGAAACACATGGAAATAGGCAATTTAATATCAAATAGCAAATATAGAAAATCAATTAAAACTAAGTTAAACTAAAACCATAAATCCCAACTCAATAAATTAGCCCATGTTAAATAAATGACAACAAAGGAGAATATTAATACATGACATCACAAATTTGGCAAAGTAACTGAGCAAAATACAAAGTATAGATAAAATCCTTTTTTTTGAAACTTAATCTTGATTTTCCCAAAATCCTTGCCAAATCCTTTGGCACCTCCTCGTGCGCTATGATTTGTTTTCCAAAATACCAAGTAAAATGCAAAAAAAAAATAAATGAAAAGAAAATGAAAAAATAAAAAATAAAAAGAAAGAACCAGCAAAAGACGGAACCCAGAAAAATGAAGCTGTCCTAAAAACTGCCCGGCTGCTTGTTTTTATATTAAAACCTAAGGAAAATTGCGGCTTTGGTCCCTGGGCTTTTGGAAAGTTAGCAAAAAGGTCCCCAGTTTTCTTTTTAATTACAAAACAGCGCTGTAGCGCCTGGGTCTCTGTTTCAGCAGCTACAACAGTTGATTTTGTGTAATCTGCAGCCAAGTCCCTCAACTTTTGATCTTGTACAATTTAGTCCTCGAATTTTGACTTTCATTTCACTTTTGCCCTCCATAAATTTCATCACAATTCCTCCACTTTTTGACTTATTTTCCTTGGCCTCCAACTTCACAATTTTGTACAATTTTAGTCCTTTTCCCTCATTTTCCCTCATTTTGCCTAGAATTTCATTCTTTTAATCAATAATTGTATCAAATTAAGTGCCCAATAAGTGTGTAAAAACACATATATTACACCCCCAAACTTAAGCTCTTACTCGCCCCGAGCAAGATTATCTACCACACAATTAAACAAACGTGATAACGGTCAACACACTAAATAACTTGCCAAAAATAGCAATGAGTGTAAAATTGTACAATCAATTCACAAATATGCTCCAAATAATGCTAGCAAAAATAATTTAAGCTTATCCAATGTTTGATCAGTGTGTGCAACATCACTTTTAATCATTATCTGAATTAGGAAAAAGTTGTCAAGACGGAAAAATCTTCAAATTAGCTCCAACCCAACCCTTTGTGGTCAAATATTTCATTTCCCCACTCGTGAGATTTACACTAAAATAGATATTATTGTACTTCCCGAGGTGTAAATCTAAGGGTTGCTCTCAATCACTCATTTCTTTTTCCACTCTAGTTTGGTTGAATCTAATCGGCAATTTCAACATCTAGGCATGTGATGATTCTCCACTAATGAGTGCTTCCACATTCAAGTTTATACCAAGCAATTCAAACCCACCAGTTATCTAAGCCCAAATATGAATAACAATATTTTTTTCTCTTCTTTTTTTTCTTTTTAGCCGAATCCCATGTTTTACCTCACTCCCTTAAACTTTCTTCTTGACCCTTGTAGCGAGTTTTAGGTCGATAGCTCCCTGTTTAGGCCAAGGGGTACCGGGTTTCAAAATACCCCTATGGACTTAATAACTCGAGTCAAAAGGGCTACGAAGTGAGCCCCAAGATTCAACAAGTACAATAACATTCTTTTTAAGCACAAATCAACACATAGGGCTTAGATCCCTAGCATATGGTCATTACCTAACTTATACTTGGCAAAAGATACTCCGCACAAATATTTTCAACATGCATGGAATCAACACACTTCTAGATAATATCCTTCATCAGCTCGACTACCCCTAAACTTAATTCACAAAATGGTGGAGTTATTGAGACTATGATAGAAGTTTATGTGTAACTCATAACCTAGTTCTTCCAATTCAAAAATTTTCCATCAATCAACCATTTCCACATCTAGACAATAATCAGTTGTGACTATTGTGCTCAAAGTGGTATAACATCTAACATGGACAAGCAAATTTTCAAGATAGAAACAAATAGCATGATTGGACATAACTTATGAATTTATAACAATTTTAAACATCACATCAAATCATCAAAAGCCAACAAGGCTATCCAATATGCTAGTATCAACACCAATATAAGCACGATAAATAGGCACAATATCCAATCAACAATTAACACCCCCAAACTTAACTTACACATTGTCCTCAATGTGTGCATAAATACAAAATAAGGAGAGAGGGTTGACGAAACTTCCCTTATTAGGTGTTTGTTGAAGGATATTGTAGATGAATTTTTGGTTTATGACTTTGTGGACCATGCACCCTCAAACTTGTTGAGATCTATGGTGGCTAGGACTTCAAAAATTTTGACCTACAAAAGAATTGTATTAATACAAAATGTAATAACAAAAGTATTAATCACAAGTAACATAAACAAAAGTGTAAGGATAAGAAAGTTGGGTTGCTTCCCTACAAGCGCTTGGTTATAGTCCCTAGCTCGACTATAGGCCTTGTTCACTCCAAATTGGCAAGAGGAATGGAGGACTTCTCCTTAGAAAAATCACCTCCAAAGTATGGTTTCAATCGTTGCCCGTTAACCTTGAAGTTCCCCTTTTCCTCATGATGAAGTTCAATTGCTTCATGTGGAAAAACCTTAGCAATGGTAAAAGGACTAGACCGTCTCAAGCGGAGCTTTCTGGGAAACAATCGGAGTTGAGAATTGTAGAGAAGAACTTGTTGCCCAACAAAGAACTCGCGTTTCACAATGTGTTTATCATGCCATTTCTTTGTCTTTTCTTTGTAAATTTGAGCATTCTCATAAGAGTCAAGGCGGACTTCATCCAGTTCATTCAATTGGAGCAATCTTTTCTCACCGGCCAATTTCACATCAAAATTCAAAGCTTTTACTGTCCAATAAGCTCGATGCTCAAATTTTACTAGGAGGTGGCAAGCTTTCCCAAACAAAAGATGACAGGGAGACATACCAATGGGCATTTTGAACGCGGTACGATAAGCCCATAATGCATCATCCAATTTCTTAGACCAATCGTTTCTAGAGGCCCTCACCGTCAATTCAAGAATCCTCTTCAACTCTCGATTCGAAATTTCAACTTGGCCACTAGTTTGGGGATGATAGAGAGTGGCTACACGATGCTTTACTCCATATTTGGTCAATACTGAATCGAAGAGGCAATTAGAAAAAATGTTTACCTCCATCACTAATGATAGCTCGGGGGGTGCCATAGCGAGAGAAAATATTTTTCTTAAAAAAGTTTACTACCTCCCGAGCATCATTAGTGGGCAAAGCCACCGCTTCTACCCACTTTGACACATAATCAACCGCTACCAATATATATTGATTTGAGAATGAAGGAGGAAAAGGTCCCATAAAATCAATACCCCATACATAAAAAATTTCCACCTCTAATATAGAATTCAAAGGCATTTCATTTCAGCTGGAAATATTACCACTGCGTTGGCATTTGTCGTACTTGAAGACAAGAGTGTGAGCATCTTTGAATAATGTGGGCCAATAAAAATTGGATTGAAGTACCTTTGATGCGATGGCCCCGAAGTGACCACCATAGGGTGAAGAATGACATTGTCAAGGATTTGCTCAATTTCATCTTCCGACACACATCTTCGAATAATTTGATCCAGGCCCCATTTGAACAACAAAGGATCGTCCTAAAAATAATGCTTGATGTCGGCAAAGAACTTCTTCCTTTGTTGGTAAGAGAGATCCGAGGAATGATGCCCCTAGCAAGAAAGTTCACATGGTCCGCATACCATGGTATATGGATGACTTGTAAAAGATGCATAATTTGCAAGAGTTGTTCATTGAGAAATACCTCATTTATCTCCCCATCCAACACCTCTTTAGTTTGCTTAAGTCGAGACAGGTGATCGGCAACAACATTTTCGGTCCCTTTTTATCGTAAATTTCCAAGTCAAACTCTTGTAGAAGAAGGACCCATCTAATTAATCGAGGCTTGGCATCTTTCTTTGCTAGCAAATACTTGAGGACTGAGTGGTCCGTGTAAACAATCACTTTCGATCCAATGAGGTAAGATCGAAATTTATCAAATGCAAATACCATTGCGAGCATCTCTTTTTCAGTAGTGGCATAGTTCAGTTGAGCATCAGTCAAAGTCCGGCTAGCATAGTAAATAACATGCAAGATTTTATTTCTCCTTTGCCCCAAAACTACTCCAACGGCATAATCGCTTGCATCGCACATAAGCTCAAATGGTAAATTCCAATCTAGAGCTACAATGATAGGAACCGTGATGAGTTTCTCTTTAAGAGTGTTAAAAGCATGGAGGCACTCTTGAGAGAAATCAAATGGAGTGTTCTTCTCAAGTAAGGAGCAAAGTGGCTTTGTGATCTTTAAGAAATCCTTGATAAACCTCCTATAAAATTCGACATGTCCCAAAAAACTCATTATCCCTTTCACTGAGGGAGGTGAAGGTAATTTCTCAATGACTTGAATTTTTGCCTTGTCAACCTCTATCCTTTTATGTGAAATCCGATGGCCGAGAATTATGCCTTCTTGGACCATGAAATGACATTTTTCCAAATTAAGTACTAAATTTGTCTCCTCACATCTTTTCAACACGATCTCTAAATTGTTCAAACATCCGTCAAATGAGGCCCCAAATACCGAGAAGTCATCCATAAAAACCTCAATACATTTCTCCACCATGTCGGAGAATATAGCCATCATACACCTTTGGAAAGTGGCGGGTGCGTTGCAAAGGCCAAAGGGCATCCTTCTATATGCAAATGTACCATATGGGCATGTGAAGGTAGTTTTCTCTTGATCCTCTGGGGATATAGGAATTTGATTATAGCCTGAATACCCATCCAAAAAATAATAATGAGAATACCCCGCTAACCGCTCAAACATTTGATCAATAAAAGGAAGAGGAAAGTGATCATTCTTTATAGCCTTGGTAAGCTTGCGGTAATCTATACATACCCTCCAACCGGTCATGGGTCTAGTACGTATAAGCTCATTATCCTCATTTTCTACAACCATGACACCTCCTTTCTTTGGCACCACTTGAACGGGGCTCACCCATGCACTATCTGAAATCGGATAAATAATGTCTGCATCAAGCCACTTTACCACCTCAGCTCTTACCACTTCTTTCATGTTGGGGTTCAACCGCCTTTGATACTCCACTGATGGTTTGAAATCATCCTCCATAAAGATTTTGTGCATACATAGTGAAGGACTAATTCCTTTAATGCCTGCAATAGTCCAACCAATAGCTCCCTTGTGTTCCCTCAACACCTGAAGTAACTTCTCTTCGTCCAATTCATTTAAGGAATTAGCAATGATAACCGGAAGCATAGATGACTCTCCCAAATAAGCATACCTCAAATGAGATGGAAGAGGCTTCAAATCAAATATAGGTGCCTGCTGAAGAGATGGCAGTGGTGGTGAAGAGCTCTTTTCCAAGTCCTCATAATTTGGTGCTCTCTTATAAGATCGAGAAGGTGTAGCCTCCAAATAGTGTACCATATGCTCAACTTCAAGATCTTCCTCTTTGATAGCTGAAGGACAAACAAGACATGTTTCTATAGGATCCTTAGAAAGTATGTAAAAAGACTCGACAACCACATGATCAACAACATCCACTCGAAGGCATGAATCAGATTTCGATAGATACTTGAGGCCTTCAAGCTATTGAATGTAACTTTTTCATCTTGGACTCTTAGAATGAGCTGCCCCTCTTGCACATCAATCAAAACTCGGTTGGTGGCAAGAAACGATCGTCCTAAAATGATAGGGATGTCATGATCCTCTTCCATGTCAAGAATTATGAAATCAACTGAAAATATTATTTTGTCCACCTTGACCAATACATCCTCAATGACACCCCAAGGATATTTAATTGATTGATCAGCCATTGTAATGATACAATGGTGGCCTTGGTTTCTCCCAATCCCAATTTCCTGAAAATAGACAAAGGCATCAAATTAATACTGGCACCAAGATCACATAAAGCTTTACTAAAATTTAAATCTGCAATAGCGCATGGAATAGTAAAACTCCCTGGATCTTTGATTTTCGGTGGTAGCTTCTTTTGAAGGATAACACTACACTCTTCCGTTAGTATTACTGTCTCATGTTCTTCGAGTTTCCTTTTGTTTGAAAGAATGTCCTTCATAAATTTGGCATAACTTGGCATTTGAGCTAATGCATCGGCAAACAGAATGTTTATGTGTAGCTTCATGAATACCTCCAAAAATTTTCCAAATTGAGCATCCAATTTCTGTTTGTGAAGCCTTTGTGGGAAGGGAATAGGAGACACATAGGCTTTGACCGGTATTGGAGCCTTTGATGTTGATGGCTCCGGTTCTTCTTCAATTAGTGTCTTATCCTTTGGATCAGGTTCTTGCATAATCTTTTCTTCTTTAATAGGTGCCTTGTCGGTTTGACCCTTAGGGCATGTCACTGTGATTTCGGGCAATTGCACCCCACTTCTAGTGGTAATAGCTTGTACATTCTCCCTTGGATTTGTTTCGGTGTTGCTAGGCAATGCCCCCTGTTGCCTTTCGGAGATAAGCTTGGCAATTTGACCCACTTGACGTTCCAAATTTTTCAAAGAGGCATCATTGCGTTCTTGATATTGCATTTGATGGTTTGCCAACTTAGCAATGACCTCTTCCCAACCTTCTTTTTTCTCTTGTGGCCTCGGGTTGAAACACATTTTGATTATTTCCATAAGAAAAGTTCAGATGATTTCGCCAATTGGGGTTATAAGTTTGCGAATAAGGATTGTACCCTTGGCGTTGAAAGTTTTGAGTATATGCCACTTGCTCGGTAGATGCTGAACCACTACCTATCAATGGACAACTCGGGCTTGGGAAATTTGCTCCATAAATATCACAAATAGGCAGAATTGTACCATATGAGCGGAATGAGAGCTCGAGGTAGATGTAGAAAGTCCTTTTACCTTCTTTGCTAGTGAGTTGATCTTTACTAGAACCATTGAGAAAGCTTCACCATCTTGAACTCTACCAACCCCTCTTTGTGAACCTCTATCTGGCCACATAGCTTTTTGTTCACTCATGACCTCAAATAGATCATATGCTTCCCAAATACTCTTCTTCTTGATTGAGCTATTAGATGATAAATCCACATTTGAACAGCAAGAAGGAGTCAACTCGGCGTAAAAACAATTCACTTGTTGCCCCATTGTGATTCCATGATTTGGACGTTTTCGAAGCATATCAAACCTCTCCCAAGCCTTGTGAAAGCTCTTAAATTTGGATTGTTGGAAAGTAGTTATGTCATGCTTGAGTTTGGCTACTCAGGCGGGTGGAAAGAATTTGGTTGTGAATTTTTGAATAAATTCCAACCAACTATTTATACTTCCGGGCGGTAGAGTCTCAAGCCATTCCCTTGCCTTATCCTTCAATGTGTGAACAAATAACCTCATCCGGATCACCTCCACATTTACGCCTTCATATTTAAAATTTCCAACATTCTCTATGAATCGTACAACATGTGAGTGAGGATTCTCATCAATCCTTCCATAGAATGGAATGGTATTGGAGAACAAACTAATAACATCCGGACGAAGTTGAAAGTTTGGATGTCCATATGGAGGGTAGACAATACTTGATTCATTCTCTACTACGGGTGGGTTCATGAAGTCCCCAAAGAGCATATCTTTCTCATTTACAATAGGCTCTTGAGCTCTACCCTCTTGGTTACCAAAACCCGGTGGAATGCCACCTCGAGGAACATTTTTCGATTGAGCATTATGTTCCAAATTACTCCCTTGGTGTGCCATCTCAATCAATTGTTGCCTTCTCAATTCCCTTTGTTCCCGTCGCCTTCTTCGGAAAGTTCTTTCAATATATTCGGATCAAACTCGAAAGGATCAAAACTTCTCAAACGAAGCATGCACCACCAAAGACCTAAGGAAATCAAAATTGAAAGTTAATTACATAATAAATATATAAAAGCAATGCAAAAGAAAAAAAAAGAACAAAACTTGTAAAAGTTAGAATCAACAAAAGATGATAATTGAAATAAAACACTCCCCTGGTAACGGCGCCAAAAACTTGTTCGCTAAAATACTATCGCAAGTGCACGGGTCGCGTTTAAGTAATAAAGTGAACCTTTTAAGTCCAGATTGTCGATCTCTTGAGAAATGTTTACTTTAAATTACACAACTTTAATCAATTTAATTCTAACAATGAAAATAAACAAACACAAAATAAATAGTTGATTTTGGAAAATAAGGAAAAACATACTGACTAAGAAAATAATAAAGTCTTAGAAATTTCGGAGGAAAAGTGGTTGGGATTCATGGTTTCATTTAACCGTCACCTAATCAATTTCTCCACATGCCAATTAACACGCTACTCATTTACGATGTTAGACCCGATCTTCCAATTTTAGCTAATTACCTCTCCCGAGTAAAATTAACCCTAATTGATTGGTTTAACCTACTATATCTCTATGTCGATTACAACCAAACAACCGCATTAAATTGTTGTGAAAATAGCTCATTGGGTCACCTAGGGCTAGAGGTATATCTCTATCCTCTACACAAACCTAGGATTTTTATCATTTGGTCTAAAATGCACAATCTTCTCTCGAACGATGTACACTTCACGAAACACATTTATTCATTGACCACATAAATGAAAATGCAATAAATACAATAATAGAAACACACGGAAATAGGCAATTTAATATGAAATAGCAAATATAGAAAATCAATTAAAACTAGGTTAAACTAAAACCATAAATCCCAACTCAATAAATTAGCCCATGTTAAATAAATGACAACAAAGGAGAATATTAATACATGACATTGCAAATTTGGCAAAATAATTGAGCAAAATACAAAGTATAGATAAAACCTTTTTTTTTTAAACTTAATCTTGATTTTCCCAAAATCCTTGCCAAATCCTTTGGTACCTCCTTGTGCTCTATGATTTGTTCTCCAAAATACCAAGTAAAATGCAAAGAAAAAAGAAAAGAAAAGAAAATGAAAACAAAATAAAAAGAAAGAACCAGAAGACGTCCCAGCAAAAGACAGAACCCAGAAAAATGAAGCTCTCCCAAAAATTGCCCAGCTACTGGTTTTTATTTTAAAACCTAAGGAAAATCGCAGCTTTGGTCCCTGGGCTTTTGGAAAGTTAGCACAAAAAGGTCCCCAGTTTTCTTTTTAATTACAAAACAGCGCCGAAACAGCGGCGCTGCAGCGCCTGGGTCTCTGTTTCAGCAACTACAACAGTTGATTTTGTGTAATCTGCAACCAAGTCCCTCAACTTTTGATCTTGTACAATTTGGTCCTTGGATTTTGACTTTCATTTTACTTTTGCCCTCCATAAATTTCATCACAATTCCTCCACTTTTTGACTTGTTTGCCTTGGCCTCCAACTTCACAATTTTGTATAATTTTAGTCTTTTTTCCTCATTTTTCCTCCTTTTGCCTTGTTCTCTTTACTTGAGTAATTTTTAGCCTACAAAAGCAAATAATACTTAATTGTAAGTAGAATTCTATTCTTTTAATCAATAATTGTATCAAATTGAGTGCCCAATAAGTGTGCAAAAACACACTTATCAATGGGTGTGCGTGTTCTTATTTTCACATAATTACTTTGGTGTTATACCTTATTAGTATTTAATATTGTCTATGAACAGCACGTTCAAATTCTATGAGCTTATTTGGTACAAACTTATACAATATTATTAAATTGACGTATATTATGTTGTTGCTCCTGAAATGACACAATGTCGTAATTAATATCCCAAAGAAATATTAATCATAGATCTATCTATTATTAATAGTTTGTTATTGCTCCTAAGCAACACAACATTATAATTAATATTCTTGAAGAATATTACTTGCTCCTGAAGAGCATGAACTATATTTTATTAATGTTCTAGAAGAATATTATTTTCTCCTGAATAATATAAATTATAATTTTTAGTATTTCAGAAAAGTATTGATTTATTGCTCATGAAAAGTATGAATTACAATTTTTAATATTTCAAATAAAGATATTGATTTATTGCTTCTAAAAAAACAATAGTAAATATAAAGTACTCCCGAAAAAATTCAACTTTGCAAAGATTAATATTTGTCTAGAAAACATACTCACGAAGAGTTAAATATTTTTAAATAATAATTTACTTGTGTTTCTAAAGTAGCACACTATTATTGACAGATATTTTAGTTATATTTTACTTGTTCCCGAAGAGCATAATTAAATACGATTTAACGTAAATTTTCTTTTTACTCCTTAAGAATAAATTTTTATACAATTTATTTTTTCAAATAATAATATGTTATTACTCTTGAAGAGCATGATATTATGATTTTAATATTTCAGAAGAATATTGATAATGCTCTTAAAGAAGCGATAATAAAATACGTGCTCTCGAAATAACACATGTTTTGAAAAATATATCATGCGTAATTTATGAATTTGTGTTTATCCCTCAAAGGAAAATTTATGACTTATATCATGTGGACATTGATCATTATATGACTATATAATATTTAATCATATTATTTGAAATTAAATAATTGGATCATATCTTATATTGAACCAGAGTTCAATTTGATTGGCATGACCAGATGGTTTGATTTCCCACATGTGAACAGAATCATGAACAAGTAATATAGTAGTGTGTAAAGTGTCGAACCCACGAGTACAATGTATTTGATTAAGTTAAAATTAATTGCTACTTTAATCGACTAGCAAACAACTTGTAATTTTTCTAAATAATATCTAAATTATCAATTAAACTAGAAAGTGATTTGGCGGGTTTTTCCAATATGTGAAAGTATTGTTAAGATGTCGAATCCCCCCTGTCATTCCATTTTTAGTGTAACAATTAAATTGATAATTTAAAATCATTTATGTTGGTGAATGTTCTTAATTTAATTGAAAGTCTCTCTTGATAGCGATCAAATATATTCCCCTCATATGATTCTTCTATCTCTTGATGAAAAATTTGAACATGATAATTGCATTAATAAGTGCTAGAACACCTATTGAAATCATATAAAGTATAGAGATATATCTCTACTCTCTATCGAACCTTACAATGTTTATTATATTATGTTTAAATCATATTGTTTCTCTCGATAACAATAAAACCCACTAAAAATTCAATTGGTGATCAAGTAATTGAAAAGAATGATAAAAAGATAATAAATATCCACATAAAAAATCAAATTGAAGTCATAATAATTAGTTAAAAACTAAAAATATCATAACAAGTATTCATCCCATATTACAAAAAATCATATTTAAGTGGAAATGCATAACCGGTATTTTTGATAAATTGAGAAGATAAAGATGAATCTTGAATCTCTTCAATGGTTGATGATTCTCCACTTGCGCCCTCTCTTCTGTGCCCAAAAATCAAGTTTGAATCTTCTCTTAATTGATTTCTTGTAAATTTCCTTCAATTCTCTCACAAAAACTATGAAATTTCCTCCTTTAATGATAACAATTGATGAATATTGGAGTATGAGATGTATATGAAAGATATTACAGAGGTCATTTAATGTATTTTGCTATTAGGTATTTGTAGGAGTCGAAAATTGGTTGAAAATCAAGTCCCAATTGGTTTCCAAAAGAGTTACAATGAAAGGAAAGTCACGTTCTTGCATGGATTTTTTATTATAACTCTGTCTTCCGATATCCAATTGAGTTGATTCAAAATGAATTA